ATGTGGAATTCAAGGCTATAAGGGTAACAAATCCAGGTACAAGATTAACAAATTCTGTAACATACAGATTTAACTCAAATTAATATGAACTTTTACTTATGACTTATAAAATTTCTTTCCTCAGCCACTTTTAGTAGAATATGCATTTTTCCTTCTTTTTTTTGGTCTAAGTTACAGCTTTTAACTACTTGTGCCTTCAGTCATCTCTTCCAAATGTGCTCTGGATTTTTAGTCATTGAGCAAATGAAACCTTGAGGAAGCCATTTAATGAACTACATGCTAAGAGATTTTACTTGTTTCAAGATTCACCAGGATTGTTAATCTTCTTCCTTTCTTTTGTCTTTGTGACAGGTCCAAAAGGAGAAGAATATGCTTGGTATCAGTGTACGGTAGGCCACTTTTACTCTCTTCAACTAACTGAAAAAGTTTACCAATCTAATAGGAAAACTGAGTGTTGCAAAAACTTTCAAATTGGTCTTGAGATCAACTGAAAATTGCTTAATCTAGCAAATTTTTATTCTGTATCACCTCTGAAATTTCATGAGGCAAAAACCACTATATTTTTGTTTTTAGGCAACTGTTCATGTCTGTCTTGGTTTTGCTAATAATTTTTTATTTTTAGTTCTGCATGGTTTCTTTGTTGGTTTTATTTTGAAAGTCTTATCTTTCTGCATCTGAAATGGCTTTTTTTTTATATTTCCTAAGGTTAATGGTGGACGAGAAGGTCGACCAATTGGAGCTTATGAGCTTGCAAAAGCAGTTGAAGAGCTAGGAGCAGGAGAAATACTACTTAACTGCATTGACTGTGATGGTATTGATGATCAAAAATGTGTTTTGCAGTCCAGACTGCACAATTTAAACCATTCAATGGGGGGATGGCCCCCAATACTATTGGGGGTTATTGGGGGCTGTCCTGCCATCCAATAGTCCTTGTTTTGCAGTCTGGACAGTGCTAGACTTGTTTTTACTAGACTGCAAAACAAGTAACTCATAGATGATTTTCATTTCTTCTTTTTCTTGCTCCCCATTTGGGAAAAACAATCTACCTTGGTCTTTAGTTAATTCCATTAAGTGAATGCTTAATTGTAATTGAGAAATTCCTGTCCTGATTTTTGAGGCAAGAATCATTTAATTGCATTTTAACCTGTCCTGTGCTGTCAGTTGATATGTATTTGGTTCATTTCTAGATTAGTGTGTTTTTTTTTAATGCTTACATTGCTTAAATTCTGCCTTTTTGCAGGCCAAGGCAAGGGATATGATCTAGATTTGATAAAGTTGATCTCAGACGCTGTCAGCATCCCTGTTATTGCAAGTAGTGGCGCTGGTGCTGTTGAGCACTTCTCGGAGGTGTTCAGGAAAACAAATGCATCAGCATCCCTTGCTGCTGGCATCTTCCATAGGAAGGAGGTAATTTAGTCAATCTGTGGAATTGGAAAAGGCACTTACAAACTAAAAAGATTTAGTTTTGTCAGCATTTATATGGAATCAGATAACGCTACTCCTCAATAGTGTGCAGACTTTACTAGTTTATCTGCCACTAATAAATTCTCCAAAATTCTCTGGGTTTCAGGTGCCAATTCAATCCGTAAAAGAGCACTTGTTGAAAGAAGGCATAGAGGTTAGACTCTAACCTTATGATTGACACGGAGACTTTTGGGATATTGTCTACAGTGGCACAAAAAACTATGAAAACATATGCTCAAGATCAGGTCTAGTAAGAATTTCCTAAGTTTGAATTTGACATTTGTTGTATACTATATTTGCATCTTTTGCATTCAGGATTGATCTCAATACTCTCTTTTTTCTTTTTTTTTTTCAAAATTAATTATTTGTTTTGATGGAGACTTCAGATTCTGTATTCAATAGTGGTTTTAACACCTTGCATTGGAGAATTATAGTTAATAATAAACTTCAATTCTATGCTTATCAAAAAAAAAAGAAAAAACCTTCAATTCTACTCGCCCAATGTCTAGAGTTTTGCTCTTGTTCTTGCCATCACCATGTAAACTAAGAGTTCGTTTGGTGTGGCTGGAATTTTTGATAGAAGTCTTCCTAGAAAGAATTTGTTGTAGAAGTATTATTTTTTAGAAGTTGAGGGTGTTTGGTAAAATTTTTTATAAAAATACTTGTAGAGTTAAAAGTTATTTGGTAAAATTTTTTTATAAAAATTCTTTTAATGTTAAAATGACTGAAATATATATTTTTATTCTAATTATCGCTCCCATTATTTTTTTTATATTTTTATATAACTTTATTTTTATAATTAATTTA